GTTGGTCAAAGAACCAAGCCCAACTTAAGCTGTTCTCCCCTTCCACTAATGCAAATGCAAGCGGGAAAATCCGCCTGTTTCCATCAACGCCAGTGGCATTTAGAAGACATCCTCTGTACTTCCCAGTAAGGAAAGTTCCGTCAACCTGAATAAAAACTTAGGATATAATTAGTATGAAATATACTTAACAGCAAATAATACAACATTTAAAACCGGAACTAGTTGGTAAAATACCTGAATAACCGGTATGCAGAACCCAAAACCGTCAATGCATGGTTTAAAAGCCCAAAAAAGACGATGGAACATCAGCTTATCCTGTACTCGAACTTGATCCTCAGTGTATACATTGTTGTATACTGGGACGAAAACAGTCCCAGGATTGGACTCCTCCATTGCTCCCATAAGTCTAGGGAGTAAAGCATACGAATCCTCCCAATCACCATACACCTCAGCCATGGCTTTCTGCTTACCATGCCATGCTTTTTTGTACCTTATCGTGTAAGAATGTCGATCCTTCACCTCTGCCATGATAGCTTTCACCTTGATATCTGGTTGTGCTTCTATAAGGTGCTTAATAGTTCTCCCAACCTTCTTTGCTTTTAGTTGCCTGTGATCTTGGGAAAGTATAGAAGAGGAGCATGTGTGGATCGTCTCAGCTTTGCGAAGCACCCAAGCACCCTTTCTCTTCATATTTGCAGCCCGCAGTTGCCACGTACAACCCTCTGCATCATGCTTGCATATGACATGTAGTTGTTTACTGTCAGAATATTTTACCTTCCACTCGAAATTGCGCCTCAACGCCTCTTCTGTAAAAGCATCCTGCACAGCGTCTTTCGATGTGAACGCCATACCCACCTCCAAATTGGCCGTCGGATTGTACACTGGCATAGGGACAAAGTCGGGGGGATCATTCTGACTATGTAAAAATTGAGTTGGAACCTGTGTGTAATATGGCGTGGGTGCCTCACGAAATGCCGCCTCATCCTCGTTATCATTACTATCTTCCTCCTCCTCGCTCACTGATATCAAATCTTCCTCAGTATCCTCGTCGCTCGACTCGAATGGATAGCTCGGGCTAGAAGGATCAACATGACCACGATCACCAACATCGTCCTCTCGCTCATGTGAAGTACGCCCTGATCGAATGGTATTCTCGATTCCATACCACTCTGGCCCCCAAGCAGGCCATTGAACACCATCGGCCTCAACAAATGGGGCTGGTTTAGGAGGTTGCGAGTATTTGTCCCATCCTGCACTACTCGATCCACCGTAGTTGATTGAACCACCACCCTCCCCGTAACCTCCTGTATAACCACCGCCTTGCTAGTTGCTCGAACTACCACCCCATTCGTACCCTCCTGCAAAACCATCATCATAAGAATACTGGTGAGAATGAGATTCACCGACCGCCTCGGTCTCAACATACACCTCTGCAAGCCGGACTTGGTTATCGCTTAGGAACTGTAACATCATCATAACCACGTCATCATCGTTTATGACAACTTCTTGGAACACGACCCCGCCAGCACTCATGTCTGGATACCGGTAATTAATTTTGCCAAGTCTCGTCTGTCCGCTCGTACAAACCCTTTCTGCACAAAGATCACAGAGTTCTTCAAAATTGAATCGGGAATCAATTTTCAGCATAATGGATTCGCCGTCCTCATAATCAATGCCTATGTCAGAGTTTGTCACCCTTCCATTCCACCGAATAGTAAGATGAAACTTCTTGAATTTACCCATATCTACAATTTACAATAAGTATCTATTAGCTTAAAGACAGTAAAATTAACCAAAATCATATTGTACAAATAATATTAAATCATACCATAACTAACGAAAATAAATTCAACTAACTAACAACAACATAATACGAAAATTAAATCATACTATAACTACTAAAAACATAATTAGACTATAATACGAAAAGTCTCAACATATCGAAAAATTTCTGTTCTGTGTATTATGCTCAATTTTGGCTGCTGAAATTTGAAGAAAGGGGAGTGGTTATGTTTTTACAACTGCTGGTGGTGTGCAATTTATAGGAAAATCTGCCTACTATTCACCGTTTTTGTCGAAAACGGTGAACACCATCACCGCGTTTGTCTCAAACGGTGAATAGGTGGTAGCTGCGACCTAATTTTGACCTACCAGGGGTGGGAAACGTGGGAAATGATCACTGCGTTACTTAACAACGATGAATGGGTTCACCGTTTTTGACCAAAACGGTGATGTGTTCACCGTTGTTAATTAACGCGGTGAAAACTTAACCGTTTTAGTTTGAAACGGTGAATACTTCACCGTTTTTGTTTAAGACGATGAAGTATTCACCGTGTTCGTCAAACGCGGTGATGACCTTCACCGCTTTTGTCTAAAACGGTGATGCTCAAACATGTGTACTTTGGGGAATTTTTTTATAACTCATGTATTTTGGGAATTTTTTTTAAAAACATGTGTACAGTGGGATTTTTTCCCACTTTAGGGACAACGTTGGCATCTGGACGAAATTGTGGCTGGGTCGTCTGAAGGGGCAAAAATAACTTGAGGAATATTTTACTATTTGAGATACCTTTGGTGTCCAGCTAAGGCATATTACCAAATACGAGAATCTGCATATTACATTGCACAAATGACAAATGACTGTACGACTGTGTTATGCAGTTCTGACTGTTGCCAATATTAACTACCAGTGCTCCACCAATCAACGACTTAATCACAAGCAATTAGTACTTGAATAACGTTAATTAATTAGGCTGCAAAGTGCAAACAACCCATCCTTCTTTTTTTCCTCATCAGAGCACTTAGATAGCTATATCTCTTATCTTGATCGCTTTCATCTTTCCATGTTTTTGCATGCTTGGTGCCATATTTCATAGGGGTGGCTATACGGTCCGGTCCGGTTAAATTGGACCAAATTGATCCGGTCCCAGTCCGGTCTTTTCGGGAATATAAGGACCAAAGATTGGATTGGATATAGTCCGGTCTTGATCCGGTCCGGTTTTGACCCGGTCCGGTTCCAATTTTATTTTGATTTTAGGTGTTGGAGGTCTCTTATCCGGTCTTTATCCAGTTTTTTACCTCAAATCTAAGCCCGAATATGAGATTGCATTGTTTGCTATCCGGTCCCAGTCCGGTCCCGGTCCGGGTTATACGGTCCTGTTTCGGGTAAAACCAAACAGTCCGGGACCAAATAGCCAGCCCTAATATTTCATGTGCTGGTTGAACCTGGACATCAAGAATGGGTAAGTGAAGAAAGAATCAAAATAGAGAAGAGAGTAAAGTGGTAGAGAATAATATCATGACATTGGTATTGGGTGTTAGTAAACCGCATATGATAAAAGATTGAATCTCTCTCAACAACTCAAGTTATTGAGATCAACTGGTTCTTGACATGGTATCAGAGCTTTTTGTGACCGAGAGGTCTACTGTTTGAATCCCGATGATCCTCATTTGTTTCTGTTAAGCACATGGTGTCCAGACCTGTGCAAACTTAAAGCCCATACAATTAGTAGTGTTATTGATTTTGAAGAATTCGTAGTGTTTATGAATGTGAAATATTTTCAAAACAGTGTAGCAGTGTTTATGCTACTATGAGAATTTGTAAGTATTAATTTTTATTTTTTGGAATAGAACCGTCTCTAGTGGAAATTCCATAAAATCTGCCGTCGCAGTTTCCCGCAAATCAACATTATTTTCGGTTTTCATTTTTTCTATTAAATTCCAATTATACCCTCTTTTTAATGGTAACCATCAGATTAAAATATAAGTGAAATGTTTAAATGTTAGTTAGGATGGTGCTAACCCCCTATGGAGCTAGCACCCTAGCTTCTCCCTTTAATCAGGCTAGAAAATAAAAGAAATGGCACATAGTCGGGTACAAGGGGGGATTTCTAGCCTTCGGATGGGCTATCCTATTACTACTCCAACCTAAAAATCGCACATTAAGTCCAGTATGGACTGCCAAACAGCGTAACATCTCGTCAAGGATGGCCCATGTTCCACTATCACGGGTATCTGCCCGGTTTAATTTGTCATTTATCGCTTTGGTATCGCCCTCAAACCTTGTATACACGAAAACATTTTGTAGACACCACAAAATAGCCTCCGGGAGAACCTGGAGCTCAACTACCATGGGGTCATCAATCACAGCAAATTGCACCTCTCTAGCCAAAAGGTAAAGGGCCATCCCTTTATTGTTCTTAATGATCATTCCCCCAGCCGGTTGGGAGTACTCTTGGTAGCCACCTCCCATGTAGGGGTGGCTATACGGTCCGGTCCGGTTAAATTGGCCCAAATTGATCCGGTCCAGTCCGGTCTTTTTGAAAATATAAGGACCGAAGATTGGATTGGATACAGTCCGGTCTTGATCCGGTTCGGTTTTGATCCGTCCGGTCCCAATTCGGTCTTGATTTTACATTGAGATTGTGGGATTTGAGTGGCCTAAGGCCTTAAAAGGTGAGGAGTTGGTTAAGTTTTGTACTAAGTGCAAAGGTTTGTGACCGTTTATGCAAATTACCCTTAAGTTTTGGGTGTTGAGCTCTCTTATCCAGTCTTTATCCGGTTTTTTTACCTCAAATCTAAGCCCAAAGATTGGATTGGATTGTTTACTATCCGGTCCCGGTCCGGTCTCGGTCCGGGTTATACGGTCCGGTTTCCGGTTTTTAATCCGGTCCCGGTCCAAATAGCCACCCCTACTCCCATGTACTAGGGCTCGCTTCTCTCACGTAGTTTTATTGTGGGATGGACGGCTGCACATGGCTATCGCTAGGCAAATAAATCCACTCCTTATATTGTCGCATCATCACCGGGATCCCGAAATATTTGCCCTCAAATACAACCCAATTACGCGATCTTCAAATTCGCCAAAGTAGCCGCCATAAACTGAAGTGGTTTATGTATGCACGGAAAGTGATTTTTATTAATGCCATGTAATGGGTTTTTCTTCTTCGTATCTTCAGATAGGGTATTATTTTGGAATTTTTTATAATTTCAATATTTTTTATAATTTCAATATTTTAATAATTTAATTTTTTTTATAAATTTAATAGATAATTAAGAACATTAACTATTAAGAAAAAAGGAAGGTGCACCCACCAATAATAAAATGACATGCGGCTAGTTGTAGCTACCACATCAAAACCAAGGTTGGAGCTAAAAAAATTTTGTCGGAAATAGCCAAATTTTTCCATGAAATAAGGATAACCAATCAAAATGCAACGTGGCAATACTGACATAGAGAGAAATGGATAATATGTTGTGTAGGTATGGTAAACATGCATATAGGAAAAATACACGCATCACATTAACTGGCTTTTCTTCAAGCTGGAAGATCAATGAATATCTTGCAGGAATTTTGACTTGATCTTTTTGAGATTGATGAGTACGTCATTGATGACCATCCTATCCCTTGGTGTGTCTTCACAACATTGTAACGCCACTTTCATAACTGATGATATGCAATTTTCTTCAGCCTTTAAATCCTTGTGACAGCTACAATTCAGTAGATTTGCATCAGCATACTCAGTAATTCCCATAGGCACGAATGTTCTAACCCATTGCTTTATGTCCATCCCTTCTTGGAATGATTCTTCTGTCGGGTTTCTTCTTGTGAACACTTCCATCACAAGAATACCAAAACTATAGATGTCGCTCTTTGTTGACACTATTCCCTCCATTCCAAGCTCTACAATGGATTTAAAAGCTTGCATGAAATCAAAAGTTGTATGTGGTTTCAGTGTAAACGAAAAAAATAAAATGTAATATCATACCTGGTGCCATGTATCCCATTGTAGCAAGGGTCAATGTTTGTGTCACGGAATTCCCATTTCCAAGGAACTTGGAAATGCCGAAATCACCAATATGAGCAACAAGATCTCCATCCAATAACACATTGCTCGGTTTCAAATCACAGTGAACAATTGGAACTGAATATCCTTGATGGAGATATTCAAGAGCCAATGCGACATCTATCATAATATCCAACCTTTTAAAAATGTCTAGAAAGTAGTTGTGCGAATATAGCCACTTATGCAAACTCCCGCTAGGCATGAACTCCAATATCAATGCTCTAAAACCAGTTGTGTAACAAGTGCTGAGAATCTTAATAATATTTTTGTGGCGGAGATTTCGCAGAACTTCACATTCATTATCATTACTATACGAGCCATCATCATCATTAGCTTCTCGTTCCAAATCATCAAACACCTTTACCGCTACATCGGTGCCATCGGCTAATACACCTTTGTATACACAACCAAAGCTTCCCCTGCCCAATATGTTGCAGTCGTCAAATCCATTAGTAGCTCGTTCAAGCTCAAGTAAGGATATCCTTCTCCACGTTACTGATTGCAATAATTCTGTATTTCTGATATCTTCTATGTTCTTTTTTGGACGTGGTATCATCATCACCATCAAAATGAAAGCAACAATTGCAAGTGATAGGACAACTGAAGCAACTATTGCAATCAATAACTTGCCAAATTTCTTGTTGCCCACCTTGGGTTGTGGACAAGGTTTAACTCCAAACTTGGGTAAACCGCATAAGCCAAGATTCAACATAAATGATTCTGAAGACATATTTGCAAACGGGCCTCCACTTGGAATTTCTCCCCATAATCCATTTTTGGATACATTGAGTTGTTTTAGATACCTCAATGACTCCATGGTTTTGGGTACCAAACCAGCGAGATTATTGGCTGACAGATCCAATGATTCGAGGCTCACCATGTTTCCCATAGATTCTGGAATGATACCTTGGAAATGGTTTTGTGCAAGAGATAAATTCTGTAAATTTGAAAGACCTCCGATACTTTCTGGAATATCACCTGATAATTGATTTCCTGATAAGTCCATATATATCAAGCCTTTGGAGTTACCAATTCGTGGAGGAAGTGAACCGAACAAATAGTTTGATGCTAGATTCAGCTCCAACAACTTGGTCAGGTCCCATATTGAGGAAGGTATCTCAGAAGTTAACCTGTTGAATGGCAAGTGAAGATATTCCAAGGAACTCAAATTAGATAAACAATTTGGGATCTGTTCAGAGAATATGTTGTCATTTAGATATAAGCGATACAATGCTTGTAGATCGCAAAGTTGGTCAGGAATGACTCCACTTAACTCATTACCCATGAGTTCCAACCATTGAAGCTTCTTCAGTTGTTGTATTTTTTTGGGGATGAACCCTTTCAACCGATTGCTTGAAAGAACGATTACCATAATGTTGCTCAGGTTTCCTATCTCATCTGGAATGGTGCCAAGTATGTTGCACCCTTCTGCAGTGAATTTCTGCATAGAGGTGGAGAGATTTCCGATAGAAGTTGGCAACGTGCCCTGAAATGAAGTCCCCGAGATCATTAATTTTTCCAAATGATTGCATCTCGTCAAAGCAGTGAGAAAAGACGGTTCAACCACTAGATCACTGTTGTGCCAAATGCGAAGTTGTTGGAGCATTTGCAAATCACCAATGGTATTGGGAACACGACCGGAGAAAGAGTTCAACTCAAAATCTACAAATGTAAGCTTAGAAGCATTACAGATGGAAGGTGGGATGCTTCCGTCCAAGTTATTACCCCAAATAATTAGAATTTCGAGGTTTGGAAGCCGTGCCCCCATAGTTGTTGGGAGATTCCCTGATAGTTGATTGTCAAAAAGAGCAATTATCTTCATGGTTGAGATGTTGAAGATTGTTCTTGGAACTAGCCCTCTTAATCTATTTTCACCAAGATTTAAATTTTCAAGAGCATTTAGATTACCCAACTCCACTGGAATTTCACCTGAAAGAAAAATATAAAAAAATATACCATTATGTAAGTTACTATACCATTATGTAAGTTACATGGTATATTGTATGATGGAACATCTTATCATGTTTATTAGTACCAGGAGTTAAATTGGTTGGCAGCCAAACTCTTAACATGCTCATTAATTATTGACCTCAATTATATTAATGAAGTATGTGTCTTTGTTGGGAAGAGATAGGGTGCTAATTGTATAAGGGGTTAGCACCATACTAACTAGCATTTAAAAAGGGCAAAGTAGTAATAGAAAAGAGGGAAAAAAAACTTTATCTTTTATTTATTTGGGCTGATTTTTTGGAATTTTAATAAGATCCAGTTTACTATCCCAGGATCTACATCTCTCTCTCCCTTCTCTCCATCACGTCTCTCTTTCTAAACCATACTGTCATACATAATAAAATATTGTGTTCTCTTAAAAACACTACTACCAATTTTCTTTGAGGTTTGTAGTAGTAATTTGGTGTGGATAGTATTGATTTTATGATTTATTAGTAGTGATTTTGATAATACACTACTACCAATTTTATTTCATGTTTGTAGTAGTAATTTTATGATTTATTAGTAGTAATTTTGATAATTTTTAGTAGAATCAATACTATTATACCGATTATAATTTCAATAATCAAGAATTACTACTAATACATCATTAGAAACACTACTGCCGTCATGTTCGTAACTATAAAATCACTACTATAAAATCATAAAATCGTACTAACATTATTTTTAAAATCACTGTTACGGAAATCACTATTATATCATTAGAGAACCACTACTAGAAGAAAAAACAAAATTTGATCTTTAGGAAAAAATTATTAAAAATCACTACACAAATAAAAAAAAATAATGCCGCTAAAGATTGGTACCATTCAGTCACCCAAACCGTCAAAGATTCTCTCCCACAAATCCACAATTATCCGCGTTTGGATCGCAAACCTCACTCCGAAAATTTTGGAAACACTACCCACGCCCAAAAGATATCCCAACTAGTCCTTACCTATTTCTACCCGTTGGAACAAGTTACGGTGCTAATCCTATAGGGGGTTAGCACCGTCCTAATAGTTGTGGTAGTGTTTTTGCATTGAAGTTTTTTGTAGTCTTTTTTTATTGATCGCCTGTGTTGTTAATATGTAGGGTCTGTAGTAGTTTGATGTGCATTCATGGTAGTGTTTCTGGTCGTAGTTGTCTTTGGACTATGTAGTTTCGTCAATATTGAGGTGCAATATATTGGTAGTAGTGGTTTTTAATAATACGTGTGTAGTGTTTGTATAAATACGTGTTTAGCGTTTTGGGGTTAGCAGGTGCTAACGGGGTATGGGGTTAGCATCCCATCCCACCCCCTACCCGTTAGATCCCTCTTATAGCAAAAGAACGGTGATCTTCTAGGTTAGCACTGTGCTAACCCATTACGGTGTAAGCATCCCATCCTATTCCGTCTTTGTTCGATCCTCTACGTTAAGATTATTTTTCAGTTGTATGTTGCAAGTAGCTAAAGTGGAATCCATTTTTTGTGGGTATGGTAGTAAATCAATTCGCTCTGGAAGTTGGTTGTCAGCTTTAATTTGGTGAAGAAGATGGAAGACACTGCTTGGAGATTTACGGGACAATATGATAATATAATATTTTTATTAAGTTGCTTCTTTTTAATTTTCTAATTGAAAATTAATCTCCTCTAATTCTTTGTTCCTCTCCGTCGTTTCCACTTTGCGATCATTGCATATAGGCTTTATTTAATTTTTCTCCGTCGCCGAAAGGAAAACGAGTTGCATTTGTTGAAGTTCATGTGTTGTTTCATGTTTGTGTGGTTAATTACTAGCTAAATTCTTGGGATGAGGGCTGCTCGGGTGGTATATAGTTGTGTTGATTGAGTCGATTTGTGTAATGTGTGTGTGTGTTTTTTTTTTTAATGAAGGTGAGAATTGTATTGAAATAACAGAAAAGAGTTTGATACAAAGGGCACAGGAGTGCACCTAAAGAGAAAGGAATGGAAAAAAGGGAGCACAAACTACAGCAGAAGAAAGCACGAAAACAAAGGAGCTTGGCCTGCCAGAAGGCCCCTGCTCAAACAAAAACAAAAAGCGAAACAACAAAAAGGCTCAGCACAAACACAGAAGCTGATCCCAACACTGACAAGAGAAGCACGAGCAAAAGCCAACAGAAAAACCAGCCATCCTGCTGATAGGAACAGGGAGGAAACGACCACCCCATGGACGATCCTCCAACCAGCCCAGACCAACAGCGAGAAAAGAAACCAGCCACCAATGTGTAATGTTTGTATGCTACGTACTTCTTGCTTGAGAATAAGATTGACGTTGAGAGTCTCTCTTTCCGTGGATTAATCTCAACATACAATGTTGGTGAAATCACGCAAGTATCGTGTTCTTGTTTTCATAGTGTTTAATATGGTATCAGAGCATATTCTTGATCTCTAGACTTAATCTTCTGGTTCGTTCTTGGTGTTGTGCTTTCATGGACTCTTTGTTTCTTGCGGCTGAGGTTCTATATTTCAGCTTTCTCGTGTGTTTGGTTGCTCGAAGTTTCCTTGTTCTTGGTTGTCATGGCTTTATTATAGCATCGTCGGGCCGGTCAGATGGGTCTAAGTATTGTTAGTATTTTTATTATTATTTGGTTGGAATATTATTAGTTTATGTTTATGTTTAGGATTAGTATTATTTGTAGTCTCTTTTCTAGAAAGTATTATTTACTTTATCGTTTTGGGATTAGTTTACCTAGTCTTTGGGGGAAAGGGATTTGTGGGATTAGTCCAATAAATATGTACTTTTGCTCTACGTTTTTATGCATGAATGAGAAGTCAAGTAAATTGGTAGAAATTAGATATAGTTTTTACTACGTATCTTTAGTTTTTGTAGAAGAGTTCGAGAGATCTACGAAGCGTGAAATCCTTCACGCGTCGATTGATATCAGAGCGTGTTAGTTCCACGAATAGGGTTGGGGATCACATCACTAAAGAAGGTGATTTCGCAGGCTTCCTCGCACGAGACTGTCGCCGAGGAGGATGCTAAATCGTTGCAGACTCGTGAGCTTCTGGAGTCACACCAACGGAGTCGAGTACCATTGGACAAATAAATTAGTGAGCGCATTGCCGATGCTTGTGTCTTTAAGTTAGGGAAAGAGCTGCGAGCCAGTCAGGCATGCGTGGAGGCGGCTCTGAAGTCTGTGCAGGAGGAGATGAAGACAGGGTTTGTAAGGATGAAGGCCATGTTGGCCGAGCTAAAGGCGCGGGTCAAGGTGGAGACAATGAGGATCGTGGATAAGATTTTCGCGGGAGAGAAGCAGAAACCAGCGGTCATAATAGAGGGCTGGGAGAACGGGTCACCAAAACCTTCCAACCCAGGGACAGTGCTACCAGAGCCGCAAGATGGGAAGGTAAGGTCGGAGGAGGAGGAGGAGGAGCCAACGGAGGCGACAAGGAAGCACCAAGGGCTGATCTTGCACCATCAGCCACAGTTGCCGCGTGGGGAAACCTCGTCGTCGATAGCCCCCAACTAAGAGGTGGTAAACGCGCAAGATCTGGGCTGCGAAGTGGAGATGGGTAGGAGTGGAACCATGCAGTCTGGACTGGAGAACGCGCATGGGCAGTATCAGAGTAGTCGGACCGACCGTGGGAGGCGATGTCTTACACGGACCAGGGCCCAGGCGACAAGGGTTAGGACCAAATATGTGAGGCTTGACTTGAGTCTTGTTATATGGAGTCGGGTCTAACCAAACCAGACCAAAGGAGCAAAGGGAGAATGAGATAGGGCACAGAAACACGCCACACCGGAGCTTCTACTAAAATGGGCCATAAGTAAAACCACTGCCACACCATGGGAGCTACTACCACGTGTCACAAATTGCGGGCGCAGGGCCGCACTGGGGCGGACCTAGCTGATCCGGCCATGACTTGCCAGGCCAGGGATTTTGATATGGGTCGCACTATCTTCCAATGGGTAAGGGTAATTGTGATTAAAGCAACTGGGTCGGGCAGTGCAATAAGCATCATGGATCGACCCAACACCCTAGAAATCGTGGAGGGTATTGGCAAGGAGAATCTTTGGGGCATCATGGAGGACGTGGGAGCTATCATGAGGAAGACCGACACACTATGTTCAAACTGTGCCTCGCTTTCGCTTGATTTTCCAAAATTCACCAGTCACGAGGAGCCATTGTATGGAGAATTATTTTAGGTACCAATACATTCCAGAAGAACAAAAGGTGATGTTGGGCACCTATCACATGGACGGAGATGCAGGGCAATGGATCATGTGGCTCGAAGAGGAATTTTCCAAATCAAGGAGAGCAATCACTTTGGACAGTCTACAAAGGGAATTGGTAAGGAGGTATGGGTCATTACAGAAATACTCCAGGCACGAGATACTGGCCAAGATTTGACAGACAAGATCAGTAGACGAGTATCAACATAGATTCAAAAAATTGGTAAACCGCTACCATGGCTGGACGGAAGTGGCAATTATGGGTGCTTACATGGGTGGCTTAAAGTCAAAGATCGCAGCCTCCATTCGTGCTTTCAATCTAGGGTGCACAAAAGAAGCGTATTGTCTAGCTAAAATCAAGGAGGAAAAGTTGCGCCTGGAGAAGGAGATGACACAACCGGCTCCTCGATCGAACATGCCTATCGTCGAGCCACCGGTCCATCTGTAGCTACTCAAGGGAAAGGGATAGTTTCACCTAATGCCCCAAGGCGGTTATTAGGAATGTGTCTCCTAAGGAAGCTAATAGAGATGGGTTATGCTATAATTGTGACGAGCGGTTCACTTATGGACATCGATGTGCTAACAACCATGTGTTCGTCATGATTGGGGATTTCGATCAAGATGGAACAGACAACGATGGAGTGGAAGACCAACCTCGGGGATGAGGTTGCTTAAGGGGGGAGGATCGATGCATAATAGCATTAGGTCGGTCACATGGGCCCTAAATATTACTAATCTTTTCCATTATTATTTGGTTGTGATATTATTATTGGTTTATGTTTAGGATTAGCAATATAAGTAGTGGAATTATCATTTACTTTGTCATTTTTGGGATTGGTTTACCTTGTCTATAAGGAAATGGGTTTATGAGATTAGTACTATAAATATTTAACTTTGTTCTATGTTTTTATTCATGAATGAGAAGTCAAGTAATTTAGTAGAAATTAGCTATAGCTTTTACCATGTTTCCTTAGTTTTTATAGAAGAGTTTGAGAGATATACGATGCGTGAAATCCTTTACGCATCAGGATTCCAAAGCCGATTTCTTTTTGTTAAGATGACTTGAAGGAATTTTTCCCTTACGTGAATTCCAATTTTGGGTCTTTGTGCAAGGTAGGAGATTTCTACCTATTCTTAATGGTTCTACCAAAGAACCTGTTGTTGATGGCTGACTGGATGGCCAGTAATCATCAGGTCATCACATGGATTCTCAGCTCTCCGTCGAACTAGGGTTTACACTGAGCATGCGTACATCAGTACAACTCATTATATGTGGCAACACTTAACTGATTTGCATTCTCAAACAAATGCATCACCAAATTTTGAATTAGAGACTGAGATGGTTGGACTAGAACAGGTGGAATTGGACATTTGAGCCTGCTATCACTCAGTTGTTTATACGTAGAACATGATATTAAGCTCTCGTCAAAGGAGGAGTGGCGGCCCTAGGTGAAGGCACCAAAACCTTTCTGGAGAAGAGCTTGATACCATTATGAGCTGGTCCCAGTCACAGAGTCACGGCCACCCTGGAAAGTCGAGTATTCACTTGATGGCCACTCTCTTTGTGTGCATGGCTACCTCTTGAAATGCAATGTGAATTCTGATTATGTGCAGGCACCACCGGCACGGTTCGATAAGTTTCATCATACCATTCTGTAGGTTGGGTTCTCTCAGTCAAATAGTGATCCCTCCTCATTTCTATGTCAAACAGTTCTTAGTCTCGCCACCTGCGTATTTATGCTGGCAATATGGTAGTAATTCGGGATGATCATGCCGACATTCATGAACTTACACAGGTACTTCATGTTGCATTTAATATTAAGTAGTTTTGTAGATTATCATATTTTTTGGGACTTGGAGATTCATCGTTCGACGAAGGGCTTGATGGTTGGACAACATAAGTATATAATGGATTTATTGGAGGTCGCACGTATGGATGAATGTGATCCGTGTTCTACACCGATGGAGCATACCTACACCATTCTGTTTGCGATATTCTTCCTTATGGTTCTCACTATAGGAGCATGATAGACGACTTGATTATTTGAGTTTAATGTTCGGTTTGAATTATTTTGTTCGGGTTTATTTTGGTTATTGGGGAATAATTTGGGGATTAATAAGTTGGGGTAGTTAGTAGGCAATTGTGTTTGGGTATTTAAACTAATGTTTTACGTAGGAAAGGCAAGCAAAGATTAAAACCTAAAACCTACTTGTTCCCTCTCTCTCCCTATTCCCTCCCTTGGCCGCCGAGCCTTCTTTCCCCTCTCTCTCTGCTGCCGATCGGCAGCCTTCCTTCCCCTTCATTCTTCTTCCATCAAGTCCCCTAAATCCATCCTTCCTCCAATCCCCAAATTCCCGGATCAATCCATAATTGATCCCAATCCCCTAATCCCTTGATAGAGCTCTAATCTCGAGCTCTATCATTTGGTATCAGATCCCCGTTCTTGGGTTCGTGAGCGATCAAAGAACCACGATCGAGATAGTGTCAACGAAGTCCATGCAAGCAGCTGAGAAGGCAGCCAAGGCGGCGCAGGAGCAGGCCGTGACCGCGGCCATGACGGGGCTGCAGTCCTCCGGTGATGGTGCACATGGGGTTCCCAGTCCGCGGGACGGGGAGCTGGAAGACGAGACGGAGAAGGAGGCGATCAGAGCTACCTTGGAGAGGCTGGCGGAGAGGCGTGAGCGGGAGGAGGAGTCTCGGCGGGTCTGGCAGTGGTTCGATGAGGTCCAGGCGGCCTTGGAGGCGCTTCGCGCTGTGCAACCACCCCCATAGAAGAGCAACGACGGCGCACAGGGTGGGAACGGCCTGAGCACGGCGGGAGACTCACTGGCGGGCGGCGGTGCAGAGGGAAGCAGGCCCGTCGCGGCGGGAGGGTCGCCGGCAGGCGGGGCGGCGGCGGAGGACCTACCTCCGGCGGCCGTGGTGATGGAGTAGGGGCGGTGGCGGCTTCCGCAGGCGAGGGCGACCAGGCCGGGGCTACCGAACGTGCGGGCCATGGTCAGCTAGGGCGCGGCGGTAGGCCTGGACTTCTGCCTACGCCAACGGCCCAAGAGTTGGCGGCTCGCAAGGGCAAGGCCAAAATGCCCGGGTATGACGGCGGGGCCCAGCAGACTGTGCGTGTGCCACCTAGGCCGATGGGCCGATTTGATGCAGTGGGCCCATATCACGAGCCCAAAGGGCTGGGTTGGCTGAACATGGACCCGGAGTGGTTTGAGGAGGAGCTCAGCCTGGTGGGATAAAATGCACCATGAGTCGACCCGGCTAGCGCCGAAAATTACTTGGGCTCGGACCGGACAGTGGGTCGAGCTGCGCGAGTTGGGCCGGGGCAGGAGGAGCAGTTTGGGCCGGTTGATCCCAATCCCCTAATCCCTCGATAGAGATCTAATCCCGAGCTCTATCAGAGCATTATCGGGAGTCCCATTTTCTTGATTCATACCCGTCCAGAAATCTCCAATGATGTGCAGGTTGTGATTGAATTCATGACAGCTCCACGTACCCCGCACTTACACGCAGTTCGTCACATTCTCAAGTACAAGGGTGGAAGGTAGGATGTTGGTCTGTTATTTCATTCCCTGGGAGATTCAGTCATAAAAAGCTATGCATATGCAGATTATGTCGGTTGTCATGATACGCGTCAGTTGACTTATGGGTGGTGTGTTAAAATGGGTGAAACTTTCATCTCTTGGTGTTGTAAAGCAGGATTGTGTAGCCAAATCATCTACTAAAGTCGAATACATATCCATGTCTGAAGCATGGTTCAGGAAATCGTACCGGACGTCATACTGAATTCTTTTCTGGTAGGGTATTTTGTGGTACGACTGTCGTTCAACCGTTTTGTACCTAGACCTGGCAATCTGGTCGGGTTGGGTAATTTTGGGTTGTGGACTTCGGTTATGGGTCGGGTCATGTTTGGTTGGCTGATTTCGGGTCAAATATTGACCCAACCCATTCGGTTTCGAGTTGGGTTACAGGTCATTTCGGGTTACGAGCGTTCTCAGAAACAATAACAAACATGCTTCATATTTTCTTAACGAATAAAAATTTTCACATATGCATGACAATAGTTTACCTAACACATGTCAATTAACATATTCTCAAATCCTCTCACGCTAATGAAATGAAATACAAATTGCGCAAATCTTCAAAAAACAATCACAAGAGTAATACACTAATACTACTACAAGAAACACATGATATTTGATTATCCTTAAACTCCAAACATGACATTCAAATCCTTGTGATTTTTTTAAACATCTCACCAATTTATGAGTTATTTTATCATATTTTAGGAGTGATATATGAAATGGAACGGGTCTAACGGGTCGACCCGCTAACCGACCCAAAAACTTATGGGTTATCGGGCTCGGGTCATTCGGATTTTGGGTTACAAAATTTTCTAGTTTTCGGGCGGTTTCCGGTCGGGTCAACAGATTGGGTTGTAATTTGCCAGGTCTATTTGTACCGATAAATATCATTTTTGTGATAATAAAATATTTTTTTTGTTAAAAAATCGTAATGACCAAATTTCAGTATCATTTCAAAATAATACTGGAATAAAATCGTAATATATCGGAATAAAAGGACTTATTGTCCTGTCCCCCATGACTCCCACTCTCTACCACTCTCTTTGTTTATTACTTTTTTCCCTTTATCTTTTAGTCTTGTACGCCTCTTTCTCTCTCTCTCTCTCCCTCTCTTGTTTATTTTCCGTTGTCTCTCTTCTTCTCCCCCGATCATTCATCTGTCTCTCTCTCTTTCTCTTCCTCTTCCTCTTCTTAAACAATGGCGGCCAGGAGAACACCGGCGACGTCGGCTAGGACTCGGGATAAGAGAGGGATCCATGAGCACTCAGCTCGAGCTGGATGATGGATTGGAGAACAATGGGGGTCTCGATCTCACATGAAGAAGAGCTATGCAAGCTGGACGATGGAGTGGAGAGAAAGTAGGTCGAGAATTGAGATTGAATTGAATTAGAGGTGGCAAATGGATTGGATTTGTGGATCCATGGATGAAATGGATTGGATCTAATGGATTGGATCTAATGGATTGGATCAAGTGGTTTGGTGGATTATCCATGAATCCAAATGACATCCTCAACCAAGGACCAATATGTAAAATATAAAAAGTTTAGGTACTAAAATGTCATAATGAAAAATTTTAGGTACCAAAACGTAATTTTCCAATGATATTTTTTGCATAAAAAAATAAATTTTAGGTACCAAAATGTAAAAAATAAAAATTATAGGTACTAAACCGTAATTTGCCAATGATCCATGGATCCAATCCATGAATCCACCAATCCAATTGGATTTGGATAAAAAGAATTTGATTTAAATGGATTGGATTAATTGGATATTTTTAATGGATTGATGGATTGGATTGGTGAATTGGATTGAAATTGCCACCTCTAAATTGAATGGAATAGGGTTTTGCTCCTCCGCTGATTTAGTTTTTCCCACATTTAATTTTTGTTTGGTTGAAACTGGAAAAGACAGCGTTTGACCTGCTACCACAGAACCGTTGGTTCGTTCAATACCGGATGAAATTCAGGGTTATTGAAACCTATACCCCGGAAAAATTGGCCGATATGCTTTTTCTTCCACAAATTGCATGGCGTTTCTTTTTTTTGTTCGGTTTCCGGATTTCCCGTTTGAACTGGCAGGTATGATCTGGTTTCCTGAACCATTGACTGAAGTGACTTCTTAGCTTGTTTGGATTGGTCGCTTGGTTACTGAGTTTGTGATTGCTTGTCATCTACCCATGTGGTAGTGCACTACTAATACTAGTTCCATTCGAATTGCGACAAATCTGGTTCTTCACAATCGTGCTAAAGCATATTGAAGTTCATGTTCACTAAATTTGGGGCAGTTGGTTGTTGATGGACTTATAGAGCTCTCCTCTGGAGATCAAATGGCGGACTTGTTAGCCAAGCAGTTGCCAAAGCTCATAATTGCTTTTTGGCACACAAATTGATGTTGCGTAAGCATCATCAATTTGGGAGAGGATTTTGAAGTTCATGTGTTCTTGTGTAATTAACCATTTAACCTCCTTTATTAGCTTAATTCTTGGGATTAGGGTTGCTCGGCTGGTATATAGATGTGTTGATTCAGCCGAGTTGCGTAAGACGTGTATGCTACTTCTTGCTTGAGAATAAGATTGACTTTGAGAAGCTCTCTCTCCGTTGACTAGTCTCAACGTACAACACTGAGAAACCACGTAAATCGATCTCGAGTTCGTATTTTTGTTTTGATTGTGTTTAAGAGCATCGGCGTATTTTAAGTTGAGACATGGTATTCGAGTAGTGAAAAGCTTGAAATAAAGACTTTTCATAAATATAGGTTGTGTTATGTAATTATTTTGTTAAAATTAGCATATATAAATTAGTACCCTGATCGAATCATTTCACATAGGAAACTAGTATAAACTGGTTTTTATTATGGTTTTTTTATTCTCACTTTTTCAGTCTACCTTAATATCAACCGTTAATTCATCCTTGGAGAATAAGAAAACAAAAAATTGGACCTTATAAAGGTTTCGCAGTCCGACTGTCCATACGTTTTCAAATATCTATCTTGACCCAAATGATTTGACATCATTTTCATGATATAGTGATTTGACAGTCATCATTGACATATATATGGGTAATATATAATATAATTTTTGGGACTATGGCCGCCAAGGAACATCAAACTTGCAAGCACAAGAATAATAAATATAGACTTACCCGTCATATTATTATTGCGTATACGGAATTCCTTTATCATGCTGCAATTTCCGATGCTCGCAGGAATCTGACCGCTTACTTGATTACCATGGAATTTTAATTTGCGGAGGTTTTGTGCAGGAATAAACAAATTTTGTGGCAGAGTTCCCGAAAATTTATTTTCGGAAAGATCTAGTTCCTGAAGAGTGGAAATATTGAATATGGCGGGTGTAATAGCTCCGGAAAGACCATTGTTCTGCATCATAAGTATCTCCAACCTTTCAAGCTGGCCAATTTCGACTGGAATTTCACCTGCAATTAATTTAAGACCATGTATTATTATATAGGTTTTTTTTTTTTTTGCACTTCATCAGACCGCCAGGCAATTTAGAGTAGTACGTACGTACCTGTTAAGTTGGTGTAGGCGAGAGAGAGAAGTTTGAGTGCGGTCAAATTCGCGATACTCCTTGGGATCGGTCCAGTGAGCCAATTGGAGGCAAACGTCAAGTTCTGAAGGCTGGTACAGTGTCTCAATCGCGATGGAATTCGACCTTCCAGATGATTAGAAGACACATTCAACACCTCGATTTTTCCAAGTTGATTGCACATATCATCTGGAAGGCCTCCGGAGAGTCTATTGTGTGCCAATTCCAATCTCTCCAAAGAAGAAATGTTGAAAACTGAGGTTGGTATGCCACCTGAAAGACGGTTGGCCTCCAAGTTCAGGACCTTTAAACCACTCAGAGCCCCAAGCGACGGCGGGATGCTACCTTGAAACAGGTTGTTGGAAAGGTTGATGATCTTCAATCTTGTCAACTTGGATAGTTCATTGGGCAGATCCCCGTGAAGGAGATTGCCGCTGAGATCGAGGGAGAGCAAGAAGGAGAGGTTTCCAAGGTGGGGAGGCAGAGTCCCCTGTAGCCCCATGCTAGCCAGGTTCAAAGAGATCACTCTCCTGTGTCGGCGCCCGCACGAGACGCCCGCCCAGCTGTTACAAACGTCGGTGGCAGCAGCCGACGTCCAGTTTTGGAACAAGGAATCGAGAGTATGATTTGAAGAAGAAGAAGAAGAAGTGCTGGTCGTGGTGATGTGGGCTTTGAGTTGGAGGAGAGCTGTTGCATCTTGATCATTAATGTTGTAATAACTGCCAGCAGTAGTAGTGGCAGCTGTAGTACTGGGTGGAGGGAATAATAAGAAGAAGAAGCAATGATGCCGTAACAGCAGAGTGATAAGTAGTAACAATGGAATCTGGCGACTACGGTTGTAACCCATCAGGTTATTTGGTGAGAGTGTATAGTATGTTACTAGCTAGTGAATGGTGGAGGATAATGATGCAGGCCGCATGCTGGATGCAAATCAAAGAGCCCTTGGAATATATACCGTCCGAGTAATTTCCAACCTATATCAACAAGGAGTGGATATGGTGCAAAGTGCTAACACCCATACTAACACTTACTATAAAGGTAATATAGTAACTATTCTTTCTTCCTTCCCATTCCTTCCATTTACGTTTCTATTCTATATTTCATTTAGAAATTACACTTTTGGTACATGAACTTAATAGATATTAATATTTTGTATCTAAAGTTAATTTTTTTTTTACATTTGAGTCCAAAAAAATATCAATGAAAAATTATATTTTAGTACCTAAAATTTTTATTTTTTACAGCCTACTTTGTGGAGGTTCTGACCTATTTTGAGGAGGTTCTTACATGCTTTGAGATTCTGGCATACTTTGAAGAGTTTCCGGCCTACTCCGGTGGTCCCCTCTCTTCTTTAAATTTAATGCAAAAAAGACTGTTGGTCCCCCTCCTCTTCCTCAATTTTTCATAATGCTACCAAGCGTGCCCCTCCTCCTCCTTCCCCTCCTTAATTGTGGAAAACTCATTTAAATGGCAAAATCATCTAAACATAATATTTCTATTGGCTGGAGCTACTCTTAGTCCATGCTAACAAAAATAGTGTTAGGCTAGGCTTTCCCTATATCAGCATATCCCCACAAAAATTTCCAATAACATTAAAAACAATATACAAATTAATTGTGGTTTACAGTTAAGGGTCATCATCCATTTGTGATGTGAGACAATCGAAACAAACATCTAAAGAAAATAAAGCAAAGGGACCCAATTCTTAATTGCATAGTCTAGCAGCTGTCAACAAACAAACAGAGGAAAAAACAATAGACATCGGCCCTACAAATTCCAATGAAAGAACAAAAAGTCATGAGGAAATAATTCAGCGACCCTACCATTCATTCTCATCATAAAACTAGGGCTGCAAATGAGCCAAGCTATTCGCGAGCAACTCGAGGCTCGAATTGGGAAAAACTCTTTCGAAACTCGATTCGTTTATTGACGAGCCAAGCTTGAGTCTAGTTATGTTCAGCTCGTGAAGCTCGTGAGCTAGCTCGATTGGTGGCTTGTTGAGCTTAACTCGTGAGTTGGCTCATTTAGAGCTCATGAGATGTCTCAACATTGTGGTTTGAGGGCCAACTTGATCACTGACTTATGGACTAATCGATCTAATTTGGACTTTCATAATTCATAGGATTGTTAAATTATATATCTCACATCATGTGAAGTTTAACATGTTGAACATGTAAGAAAATATGCCTTATTTTTAATTCTATAAAGAAATTATGTAAAAAATTGTTTCGATACTATTGAAATAACATGATTTGAACTAGTTAAAATTTATTAACTAAACAATATGACACCTAAAAATTATAATATAAGATTAATTAATGTTGAACATTTGATTATTTTTTTTATCGCTACATCAATCACATGTACCATACACGACATACAAAATGAATGTATTAAATATGATCTAAGAATTTAGTAAACAAGCCTAGCTCGAACTCGACTCGGCTCGTTAATAAATGGCTCGGGCTCGAACTCATCTCATTTGTTAACGAGTCAATCTCAAACTGGGGTAAAACTCGGCTCAGCTCGACTCATTTGCAGCCCTACATAGAACCAACAACATGTAAAATGCATGCATAAATAAATAAATAATTAAAACTATGGAAAATTGGGATATTTTTTTTCCTGTTTCACACCCACAAATTAGGACTGCCCCACACGACCAAACCTAGCTACCAATCAAACAACTGACATTTGAAAAGTATCCATTGCAATGCAAACAAGTTAGGTATTAATAGGTTCTTTGGGAGAATGCCAAAAATAAGTGAATTAAGATCGATGGACATCTTTTTTATTTATGGGAAACCCCAAGCTTTATTGAATAACGGGAATGCAGTTAGACTGGAAGTTTGGTATCGGTATTTGGGATATACCGAATACTGTATCAAATTTGTTTATATTTGGTATTACCGAATATACGTATTATTTCTTGTAATTTGAATTGTGATTCAATTTGAATTGTTATTCTGTATTAGGAATTACGGGATTGAGATCAGTATATACCAAAATATCGAACAATACCGAAATATAAGCTAGTGTGTATTTTATCCTCTCAACTATACTCTCTCATTCACTACTACACGACCCTCAACCAACAATCTATTGTTATTTTCATAACATCAAAAAGAAAACACTAGTTTTAGTCTTCTCTCAGCAGGCAATTCGTCAAATTAAAGATTACCAATGACAAAAACTTGAGATGTCACCTCTCCTCCATTCTCCTTATCCATATTCTAGGTCTAGCCAAACACAAAACTCTTTGCTTAGTCTCTTTTTCCTATATTAAACAATAAGATTTAATTTATATATTTAATTATTAATTGTAAAGGTAATTAATTTCGTATTCGATAATACCGATTGGTATACCAAAATATTTAGGGATTGGGATTGGGATACCAAAATTATTCAGGGATTGGGATTGATTTGAGGGTGTAATTCGGTATTCTGGATTTCGGTATTTGGTATTGAGATACCGATATAGTACCGATTTCCACCCCTAGATGCAACATCATCCAGGTTTGGCTGATAAATCAATGGCTAATACCACTAGAAAACCCGAACTATTAAGAATGTGTCATTTGCGTACTAAAGTATCTAATATGGCATTTGTGTCCCAAACTATTATAGTTTTGTGTCATTTATGTCCCAATCTATCATAGTTTTGTGTCATTTATGTCCTAACCCGAACTATTAAGAATGTGCCATTTGTTAAATACTAACGGTCAACGCTGGTCAACTCTAACGGAAAAATATTTTAGGACACATGTCATATTGAATACTTTAGAACACAAATGACACATTCTTAGGGGTCGTTTGGATGGATCAATCTAAAAATGAGTCAATTTGATCAATTGTCTCGTTTTATAAACGAGGCAATTAAAACGAGTCAATTCGAATTACCTGCCCCCACCCCAGGTAATTGAAATTGACTCAAAACGGATCAATTCAAAATACCTCAGGCAGATTGATCCATCCAATTTTTTTGCTGGCAACGAGGCAATTTGGTACAATTGTCTCAAAACGAGACAATTGTGTCAAATTGATCCGTTACAATTCCTCATCCAAACGACCCCTTAATAGTTCGGGTTTCCTAGTGGCATTATACACCGATAGTCTATTGATTCAGATTACTCAATCATTTCATGTCGTCTATAAAATGTGCTATGGTGTCATTCCTATAACAATCGACACTTTAACCACCTGTTGTTTATTATTATTATTATTATTATTATTATTATTATTATTATTATTATTATTATTATTCAATGGATGTGATCGAGTTATAGAGGGATAAATTAAGCAATCCTGGTGTTGAAAGGCTAAAAACCTATGAAATGCATTTTTATCGACTGCAGAAAAGTTAGAACATGTATTTTAATTGTGAGAAAATTGAATTTTTGTCAACGGATGGTTTGGCCCTTTTGTGATGAATTTCTCCTCCTTTAAACAACAAATTGTTACAGTGCTTACAACCTCGTACACAAAAATACACGATTTCTTAAAACCTATATATTCGTCATTACAAATGTTACCAAATGATGCACTACACCTAATTAGAGAGGTGTATGGTATTGTAGAAAATGGCATGGCAATGTATTTGAGCAAATATGATCCAAGACAGCTTCGGTGGGGATTATGACATGATTGGATTAACAACATTGAGTTCCAAATGGATATGTATATAATTTTATCGCTAGGGATAAACATCAAATAACCTAATCACTAAAATCAGATTAAGCTTGCCCAGTTGATGATGATGATGATGGATGATGATGATGATGAGCTTGCTATAATAATGCTTTCAAAGCTCCCAAAAAATGGAAAATGACATTTGACCTAACCATGCACAGGCTATACGGAAAGGAAACATAAAAAGCTCCCCACCACTTTGACGAATTCACAAACATCTCTCGCATATAATGGTGGGATGGCTATATTATAAGCTTTTTCTAGCCACCCTAAAATTCTAGGGGAATTAAATAATATTTTATTTGTCCATAGAAACATATCACAAAAATTATGTTTCTAGAATCGGATCGGATGCTGAACTGGAAAAGTTAATTGTCGATGGTTCAATGATAAATCATTAGATAATCGTTGATGGAACTTTCATATTCCCGCAAAACAAATAAAATTCAAATCACTAATAAGAGTGGCTGGTCTTAATTTACATTAAAATATTTTTTCCTAATTTTTATGATTAAAAAAATGAATCAATTGACCAATTAAACCGGAATGATTCATCTAGTTTCATATCAAACTGCTATAAAATTATTCTGTCCATATTTAACCATCCACCAAATAAACCAAATCACTATTTTAAGTGGTTCTCCTGGGTACAGCCGTTGATCGGTTTCATTATTATAACAACGACGAAAACCCACCCTAAAGGGAAATAAATCAGATTTTAACAATAATAGTGAGAAGAAGGGAAATTTGTTTGCATCTGAGCATAGTTGCTTTTCTGTGTTGTTTGTTTGTTATCTTTCGGTTAGTTTCATGAGTCCACTAGTTTCATATTTGGTGGAGTGAGTGCGATACGATCCCCACCATGCACACCTTTTTCTTAATTTTCCTCCAAATATAATCTTGTTTATTGGATGAAGAAATCGTTGGTCTAGCAATTTGTGCACTCCCAATCAATTGTCCATCTCTCAGTGGAGTACATGTTAGACCTAGGCTGCATTTTGCTAGGTACTATGAGTATTTATGGCCCCGACTCGTAGTAGCGTGGGGCGGGGCATGGGAATTGAGGTACCCACCCCACCTCGTTCCATTGCCATCACTAAATATATATTGTGTATGTTTGGTTGTAAGCTATATGTCTTAGGTAAGCATAGGTCTGGCATACGCTAGTCTGACGTCCGTATGCTTACCTTATCATATACCCGTCGAGTTTTGTTATTTAGACTATGAATCCCAGTCTCTAAATTTCTAACTCAAACCATAAGATTCGTTTAATCTTAAAATGAAAATCAATGGTAAATTCGACGAATCATAATCGTTGATTTTCATTTTAAGATTAAATGAATCTTATACTTTGGGTCAGAGAAATGTGGATTATGGTTCACCCATTAGAGATTAGGATATAGTATCATGCCCCAAACTACAGTTAATTCATTGTCTAAATAAAAAAAAACTCAAGGGGCGTACGCTAAGATAAGCGTATGCGCAGGTGTATGCTAACCATATAGGTGGCTACTTTGTTCCACCTCATACCTGATTTCTCGATTCAAGCCGTGCGAGAATCTTGAAATTTTGGCCTCTCTGTCTTCCCGGGCATCGACTCTCATTAAAAGCATTTCTAGCTCTTTGTAGTACTTGTCAACTGATCTCGAACCCTGTCGAATTCCTTGTCGGGATTTGAAGAGCTCCCATTAGTAATACCCGGGCACGAGTCGGTATCGCATCAAACTTCACAGCTCGTCCCAAATCGTTACAACATGCTGGAGGTTTCTTCGTCGTCGAAGCTGCACCTTCTCTCACCACACCAATGCGTAGTCCGTAAACTGGTAGGTGGCAAGTGAGACCTTCTGTTACTCTGTGTAATTGCCACATTGGAAGAAGATAACTATTTTTCTCTCCCAATCTAAGTAGGCAGAGTCATTGTTGGACCCTACGAAGGAAGAAATCGAAAGTTTGATTCCTTTGAGGTCTACCACTACAACCTCTTGCCCTACCTCCGGTGGCATATTGTTATGGCTGGGAAATTTGTGGTTGAGGGGTTACAGATTTCCTTCGGCGATGATAAATCTTTGTTCCAGATTGCGGATTCTATCATCCAGCTCTGGGAAAGTGCCAGTTGGGGCAGTCTAAACTCGATTGCCTTCCAGATTTGGGACGTACTCTGCAACTCTTTCTGTCAGAAAAGGGTTGCTTGTCGATGTCTTTAGTTCATCCAGGTGACGATTAATCTGATCGAATTGTGCCTGAAGCGTGACATTCAGCTGCACCATGATTGTTTTGAGGAGTTTGGAGACGTTGATCTTCTCTTCGGTCCTTAGTATCTCGTTAATTGAAGTTTCCTCCTCTTTCAAGGATTCTGTCTCTAGCATTATTTTTGCAATGGGATCCTTTGCTCGCATTATTGCAGCAACAGGTAAATTCTGCTTCTTCTTCCTCATCTTGTCCACTATTTAGAACCAGACTCGTGATGCCACATGATGTAAGCTCACCCTCGAGCTTTGATGAACAACCTTAAGTTTGCTTAGGTTGAACCCTCTCGAAGAAAAACAAAGAAGGTTGTGAGGAGGATGGTTCGAAGGTGTAACTTCACACCAAATTCGGGAAGAGAATCAATCGGTTTTTGGTAGGCACTTGACCACAATTGAGGGGGATCTCAATTGATGCTGAACTCGCTTGTCGCTGGATTCAATCCAGTCAACAAGGACAATTCAAGATCACAAAAAATCTATGAACAAAAGGGTTCTTTTAATAAAACTTCAATGAATTACAACGCAGGTCTTTAAGCCTTTAAATACTAACTTCTACTCCTAATTCGACTACAACTCAAATAAGGAAACTAAGCTATAACAATTTGAACAGAATCCAATTTGAAAAAGGAAAGAACAAACAATCTTCTAGAGTAAGTAAGTTGCCTTCCTTCCCAAGCAACCAAAGCAACCTACATAGCCACTTTGACACCCTCGTAGGACACCTTAGGATCATTCAACCAGCTAACCAATGTTTGTAGTTCTCTCACTCTCATTCTCGGCTCCTGGTTGCACTCGAAGAGCTTTCAGGCTGGTTGAATAGAAGTTCAAAGTGAGTTGCTCATGACTGTTTCCACACTTAATCATTTCTACAAATATCTTTCCTCCTTCTTTCCATGACTCGTCTCCCATGTTCAGCTTGAATGGGGCACTCTTGGATTCACAAATCAAGCCCACATTAATATCCAAGTATGACGAGAACGATCATCTACACAAGTAAGAAAATAACGAAAACCATCTACGGTATGAGAGTATAGTAAGGACCCTAGATGTCAATGTGTAAAAGTTCAAACAAGGTTTATGAATGTGAAACACTGAAGAGAAAGGAATTTTCCTTGGTTTAGCTAAAGGAAAAATAGTGCAGGGAGTTTTATTTGAACAAATAGAAGGTTTAACATCTCGATCTAAAATTTGAGACAATGGAAGGGCAGTATGTTCAAGTGTGTAATGCCAGTATCAAATGATACAACAGTGGTATCAAAACAAACATTGCATGAATGGAGATTAGGTGTAGAAGGTTACACTTGTATATTATATAACCATGATTCTTGTTTAGTTGTTATCATCCTTTGGGATGAAAGATCATGTATTAAACTAGAATCATAGTAAAATTTTAAGGAACAAGTTGCGCCAATATTCATGGCGGAGTACTTTTGGAACAATTTGCAATTTTAACCAATTTTGATATAGAAAATGAGATTGAATGTGAATGCGATAAGGAACAAAACATCATAGAAGTTAAAGGATGAGGTAACTTTTATAGTTCCTATGTGTGTAATATTAACGTTAATACGATTGGGAAGGGACACATTCATACTATCTAAGGTTCTATAAGATGCAAACAAGTGTAAGGCATAATCATTCAAGATTCACTTTAATTTGAATGATTTAGAGTTTAGGAATTAAGGTTAGGGTTTATAGTTTGAGATTTTGGGTTGGGATTCAAAATTGAGGTTAATAGGTTAGGGTAATGGACTGATTAGTTGTTGTTGGGGGTGTTACTAAATACTCCACGCGCGGACTAAATAAGGGTGCGCTCAATCGGTAACGTGCTCCGGACGAACGCCACTACGAAGTATTTAAAGGCATGAAACTCCCCATTGAAGGGGGACTTTTCTCTCTCTCCTCACTTTCCACTTTCTACTATCTCTCTACACTTTATCTCTCTATCTATTCTCTCAACTCTCTCCACAAACCTACACTAACTTGAGCGTCGGAGCTTAATCCGGGGGGCAACCCCGACTCTTTCACAGGTTTCTTCCCTCCCGACGAGATCAGACGAACGGATGACGAGTCAACCCACACAACAATCATTATTGTTCTTACCGGAGCGGGATGGTACAAACAATTGGCGCCCACCGTGGGGCAACTCATCAATTTCGTTCATCTGATTTCCGAGGGATAGAGGACGCAAAAACAAAGGAGGTTGCTGCATTGGTAAGAACATTTTCTCCAAGAAACAGAAAAGTTGCCCTCCTTCTAGCGCCATGCGCCATCCAAATTTCGGTCGCCAGAGTTTTGACGACTAAAAGCAGAAGTCGGCTGTCCCGTCGAGAATAGTCACATCATCCTCATACAGCTTTTCCCAAAAAAAAAAATACAAGGGTTACCACTACTTTCTCCTTGTGTCAGAAAAAGAAAGGCACAAGCATCGATGCAAAGTAATAGGCAAGTGGATGCCAGGCTGGAAAGTGGATGAAAAAAAAAAAAAGGTTTGCTACAGCCCGCCGCGATGAGCAATTTTTCTGCTTCTTGGTGTTCCCTGTGCTTCACCCGATCCCGCTTCCACCCTCAGCTCGCGCGGCCCAACCAAGTAGCGGCCCGCGCCGCGCACTCCACCAGCCCGCGTCACCAGGCGCGACCCACCAACCGGCGCGGCCCAACCAAGTCGCGGCCCGCGTCGCACCAGGCCCAATCCTTCATGCGGCCCTGACTTCACTTGCGGGCCCGCGTCACGCTCCACACCGCATCACAGCCCGCGTCGCACTAGGCGCGACCCACCAGCTGGAGCGGCCCAGCCAAGTCGTGGCCCGCGCCGCGCACTCCACCAGCCCGCGCGGCCCAACCAAGTAGTGTCCCGCGCCGCGCACTCCACCGATCCCGCTTCCACCACCAGCCCGCGCGGCCCAACCAAGTAGCGGCCCGCGCCGCGCACTGCACCAGCCCGTGTCACCAAGCGCGACCCACCAGCCCGCGCGGCCCAACCAAGTCGCGGCCCGCGCAGCATCCATCAGATCAGCACTTTTCCAAAAATCTCGTCGGCGCAAGGACTCGAACCCGCGCCACTCCTCCGACAGGCAAGAATCATTACCAGCAGGCTACAAGCGAGCCTTGTGCTTCAATAGTGCAACGCCTGCATTTGAACTACTACGCCGCGCCACCCTACAACCCATGCTTGCGGCCCACATCACCGCCTGTCCACCTCGCGCGTCATACGGCCCAACTCGCGCCCCGCATCCAAGACGCGCCACATCAAAAATATTATTGTCGCTGCGAGGACTTGAACCGGCGCCATCACTCCATCTCACAAGCGCTACTGCCAGTAGGCTACATACAAGCCTTCTGCTTCAATGGCGCAGCGTCTGCCTTTTAACAACTCTTCGCGCCGCTTCGCACAAGTCAACCTCCGCCTGACCTCCAGTCCTCCACTCCGCGTCAGGCCCAACTCGCGGCCCGTCCGACTCACCCGCGTCACATTAAGCCCGCCACAAGTGCACGGCCCAACTCGCGCCCCGCATCCAACAGGCGCCCCATCAAAAATAATATCATCACCGCGAGGGTTCAAACCCGCGTCACTCCTTCGCGTGACAAGCAACAATACCAGTAGGCTACATACACGCCTTGTGTTTCAATGGCGCAGCATCTGCCTTTTAACAATTCTTCGCGCCGCTTCGCCAATAGAAAGCTAAGTACTCTATCCCTTTATCACTATCAAATATTGAAATATTTTACTCTCATGAGTGTTAATGGCGCTAAGGGAGAGGGCACATTGCCTCGAAGACTCCAAACTGAGGGTTAAAAACCCCGACGAGGAGGGCTCCAAACTGAGGGTTAAAAACCCCGACGAGGAGCCACAAATAAGTCTCAACGAAGCACACAAATAAGACTTCAATAAGAGCATCGAAGACTCCAAACTGAGGGTTTAAAACCCCGACGAGGAGGGCTCCAAACTGAGGGTTAAAAACCCCGACGAGGAGCCACAAATAAGTCTCAACGAAGCACACAAATAAGACTTCAATAAGAGCATCGAAGACTCCAAACTGAGGGTTAGAAACCCCGACGAGGAGAGCTCCATGAAGAATCTACAAGGGGCGAAGGCTACACGCCTTAATGAAATACACCAACTGGGGGGCAAGACGCAAGAAGCTGGCACCGCGTCAGTCAAACGCGCCACCAGCTGGGGGCAACTGGGGTACATAGGGCTCCACCCAAAATTACCGACGAAGATTTTTTAAAAAAAAAAAATAAGATAGCGATGAGTTAAGACTCACCACCAGCTTGGGGGGCAATTGTTGGGGGTGTTACTAAATACTCCACGCGCGGACTAAATAAGGGTGCGCTCAATCGGTAACGTGCTCCGGACGAACGCCACTACGAAGTATTTAAAGGCATGAAACTCCCCATTGAAGGGGGACTTTTCTCTCTCTCCTCACTTTCCACTTTCTACTATCTCTCTACACTTTATCTCTCTATCTATTCTCTCAACTCTCTCCACAAACCTACACTAACTTGAGCGTCGGAGCTTAATCCGGGGGGCAACCCCGACTCTTTCACAGGTTTCTTCCCTCCCGACGAGATCAGACGAACGGATGACGAGTCAACCCACACAACAATCATTATTGTTCTTACCGGAGCGGGATGGTACAAACAGTTGTGATTCTGTGTTATATCATCATACTAGACTAATGCTACCCATTAAGTTCAAAATGTATTATGACCATCTTTAAAAATACACAAAAAAAAGTGAGTGCGCCGAAGTAGCCACCATATATATAATTACTAAAAGACTATTTTAATAAATAAAAAAAGTAAACATTACAATTATACTCAAAATTATACACATTTTATAATTACGTTACATCCTAGTCTCATCATCCTCAAACAACTGTTGGTGCGAGACGAATATGAGCATTGGATACTCACACACCCACCTCCCTTTTCCCATCACTAATTGTGAGATGGTATAGAATAGTCAAGAGAAGAAAGATGTATCACAGTGAACCGTGTGGAATTAGAAAGTTTGCCATAAAGGCAACACATCAAAGAAATTGCCCAACGAGTACGGGTAGACTTGACTAATTAATAATGACTGGGGTAAGTAGTTAGCTCTGACTTCTGAGTCGTCTTCACCTCGACACACATTATGGATGCATTGAATCCTGTCTGTCGGGATTAGTAATTTGTGGTCACTGCTGCGCAGGTTGTCAATTTTTCCTTTAGGGAAAAGAAATAGTTGATAGATTGTGGTGTGACCAATTCCGTTAACAGCCAACTAATTTCCAACCAGCTTTTAATATCCTAACACTGCGTTCTTCTGGGAGACAGGGGGACTGACTAGTTAAGGATTTTTTTTTTATCTTTACGGGGATTTTTTTATTATCTATTAATCGGGATGACAATTTAGTCAATACCGATTGATATTTTATTATATAACTCAATTGGGTTGGGTATATAATTCAAATATATGGTAAATGGATGAGTTTGATGGACTTGTATCCATACTCATTTATTTGGGTTGGGTTGGGTTTTTAACACATCGATTTGAGTTTGTACCCATACTCATTTGTAAATTACAATTTGGTATCTAAACCTAATAGAACTTTAGATTTGGTACCTAAATTTAATTTTTTGCATATAAGTCCTCAAAATATCGATGAAAACTTACATTTTAGTACAAAAACATTTTGTGCCTTACATTTTGATACCTAAACTTTTTAAGTTTTACAAATAGGTCCACTTTTTGTATGTCTATTTAAAACACACTCAAGTACATGGGGATCTATACCCAACTCTTCCACATTTAAATTATGTAAGCAAGATTTATTTTAAATACATGTCTATTTATTCTCATGCTCAACTCATACCTAACTTTTTTTCTTACAAAAGATAACCTTATATTGATTAGAAGAATACGTAGTTACATTCTGGAATGAATCCAAGCCATAAAATCAAAGAAACGACTCATAGACGGGTATAATGAAAGGACTTTTCTAGCCATCAAATGGGTTACCCTATTACTACGCCGACCTACAAACCGAATACTAAACTCAGTAAGAATCGCAAAATAATGTACGATCTCCTCTAGAGTAGCCTCCATCCGATTATCCCGGGTATCAGCCTGATTAATCTTGCCGATGACCAATTTGGCATCACCATCAAACCTCACCTTCGTAAAGCCTTGGGCCAGACACCACAAAATAGTCTCCCAAAGAACGAGTACCTCGACAACCATAAGATCATCAATCAATGGAAATTGTACCCCTTTAGCTAAGAGGACTTCCCCAACTTGGTTCATGATAATCATCCCACCTGCCGAATGCGACCCACTCTTCGTTGCCCCATCCCACATACAAACAACCGAAGTTGGATCCTCAGTATCCCCTTGATGAAAAAGAGAAATGGAAGAATGGAGCACTAGGTCAACCGACAGATTAACCCATTCATGATATTGTTGGTTGAACTGTCGCATTAAGGTAGGGATCCCAAACTGCTTACCTGCGCGATCGTCACATCCTTCAAAGGACTTCAAAAACTGTCATGCACAGCGAAGGTTGATATATGAGTAACATCAACTTTTTGAGGAAGAGTGGGAAAGTGTGACAAGGCAGCCTTTGACCAATACACTCAAGCCTCGAATGATCCCATGGAGCTCGTGGCGCCAGACAGTCAAGAAACAAATGTTCCATTATTTTCGAATGCGCCCAACAAGCTGGACACCTGGGAAGCACTGAGACATCCTTCTCGATTAGGGCTTCCATCGTAGGCAGGATGCGGTTAAAGATTTGCCATACAAACAACTTCAACTTGGGTGGGATATTGGACTCCCACAACCGAATCCAGCTAGCCCGATCCATCCAACTAGCCATGGATCTCCAATGACCTCTCTGCTTATCTAATAAGATAGAATTTATGTTAGGCCGATTTGACTGTGAAACCCCATCAGTCGTGGCATGCCAGATCAGTTTATCCTCCACATTCTTACGAGGAAGAGGAATAGCTTTGATGGCCCGACAAGTTGGTGGGTCAAACCACTGACTAAGTTTGCCCCATTTATTTTTCGTTAGTAGCTTTAGCTCTATGGATATAAAAAAACAATATAATTTCTTTCAAAATTGATAATTTATTCATCACAATATTTACGTATAATTTGGTATCTTTATTATCTTTCTACACTAGTATAGTGGATATGTAATTTTCACTGTGAAGTATAGTGTAGTTATATGATACAAGATAAATCACATGTTGAGGTTTACGTATATAATCGAATAAAATTATTTACATCGAATGAGTTGTATTGTAATTTTATGGATCTAATATAAAAATATTGTGTTGTGAAAAGGATAAAATTCCGGCCCAATGTTTTCACTGTGAAGTATTGTGTGGTTATATGATATAAGATAAATCACTTGTTAAGGTTCACGTTTATAGTCAAATCAATTTTTTTAATGTTGTGTTGTAATTTTAGGTATTTTTTATACAAATATTGTGAAAAGAAAAAAAAAATCGGCCCCCTAACCAAAAATCCTGACTATGTTCCTGACGCCCCTCCCCTTGGAAAAGAACCTCTGCTACCGCCGGGTCTCCACCATCAGGTAGCACCTAAAGGTTAAACAGCAAGGTAAAGGTATGCAGCCGAGGAATCCAATTAGAATGCAGCAGGGAGGCTTTCTTACCATTGCCAATCTGCCATCTTAGTCCCATCAATAATAATTTCCGGTCAAAGAAGATACTATGTTATCTCCAAGACGGGCGAGAACGCGCAGTAGCACTGTGGAAGGTCCTTGTAGGAAAATACTTCCCTTTATAAACCTGGGCTAAGAGAGCCTGATTAAACTGTTCAAATCGGCAAAAACCCATAGTCGCGTCATGCTTACTCCGACACATATTCTGCCACGACATTCATCGTATCCTAGATCAGCCCTCTTCCACACCCCACCAGAATCGGGCCACATGTTTTTTCAAGAGCCAACAAATAGATAGAGAAACTTGAAACGTGACATGACATGCAACGGCAAAGCTAAAGCGACTGATTTAATCAAAGTCTCCTTAGTCGCCCAAGACAATGTCCGTTGTTTCAAGCCCTTGAGTCGTTTTAACAATTTCTCCTCCAAATAGTGGAACGTAGCTATTTTAGATTGGGCTATCATCGTAGGTATTCCCAGTTATGTAAATGGGCGTTGGGCCGTGCTTGGGCCGGCACGGCACGGGCACGCTTCGGGCCCATTTATTTTGTGTCGTGCTTGGCACAACCCGTCAGTTTTCATGTCGTGCCATGCAAGCCCATTTATTAACTTTGCTAGGTCTGGCCCAGACCCGGGCACGGTTCGAATCGTATCGTGCCTATTCGTGCTCGTGCCATGCTCGTATTCGTGTTTAATGAAAAGGACAAAAACAAAAGAGAGAATGAAAAATGAAGTGAAAATTGGACGGAGGAGGATAGTATAAACCGATAATGTTTGAGAAAAGTAACAAATAAGGGGGAAAAGAAAATTCGAAGTATAGCGAGTGTGATTTGGCTTTGTTTAATTCTTTGTCCATTTTTACTTATGTTAGTAATTACGTATATATCTTTATGACACTTCTAACAACAACAAATAATTATTTTACTACTTGTGTTTTGTAATATTTGAACCTATAATATTTTATATTTATTTTCTATCAAATAAATATTATTTTCATGTCATGTTCGTTCTTATACTCAATAAAGTCTTGAAAATATTAGGCCCGACACGGCCCACTTATATACTATGTCGTGCCCATGCTCATGCCCGTACCCATGAAGTTTAGGCCCAGCACAGCCCATAAATTATTCGTGCTTGTGCCGGGTGACCTATTTATTTCGTGTTCGTGATCTTGCCGTGCTCTAATTGTGTTGTGTCGTGCTACCCATGGGCGACACGGCCCGGTGCCCACGTACACCCAGGTATTTGTCCTGGACCCCCACATCCCCTACACCCAAAATATGGGCCAAGAACTCTTGATCCGGCAGAGCAATATTCTTACTAAAGCAAACTGCCGATTTCGCCAAGTTCACCTTTTGGCCATTAAGATCCTCATATTCATTCAACACCTCGATCAAATTATCGCATTCCTAGAGAGAGCCTCTAAAGAATAAATAAGAATCATCGACAAAAAACATAAGCGAGATCCTAGAGGCCCTAGGAGCCACTTTAATTCCTTCTAATTTCCCATCCAAGGTAGCTTTCCGAAAAAGCGCCGCAAACCCCTCCGTTCAAATCACAAACAGGAGAGGAGAGATCGAATCCCCCTACCGGAGCCCCTTGGAGGGTGAGAAGAAACCCGAAGGAGTCTCATTCATGAGTACCAAAAATGTTGCCGATATGAGGCATTCCTGTATCAAGCCTCTCCAAATGTTTTTATGCAAATTCAAAGCATTGGATGAAAGATTGGATATATGCCAGACTTCGAGCACAAGCAAGCTGCCAGAAAAATAGCCTTCGTAGCAACTTCGAGCCTTTTGTTTGAAGCCTTAAAGATATTCAATCTTTCATCCAATGCCTTGCCTTTGTATAAAAAAATACGTAATTTGACATGGTAGAGGCCCCTGGACTTGACTCGCATCCATGCTTCTCAAATTGAGCTCCAAAGTAGGCTTGACAAACACGTTGTCAGAATTAGCCATTTTCAGGCAGTTTCCCAGTTTTGGCATAGCCTTTTGGCCAGGTTCAAAAATGGTCTTATGGACTTTCTATTGACCTCCCAAGTACTTTAATGTGTAGAGGGACACTTCAGCTTCAAAACAAGCCTTTAATCTCCAATTTCCATCTAGCCAATTGTAAGATATGAATCTCCAAAGTAGACACCATGAAACTGTTTTTACACTGAAACAACAGATTAGGTCGACCTAATCCTATATGAGGTCGACCGAAAAGTGCATGTCACCGTGACATGCATGTCACCGTAGCAAAGTCCTTTAAATTATAAATAATAGAACAACAAGCCTCAACCCCAAAAATATAAAGCACGTGATGATAGTAAACACGAAAATCAAAATAGAAAACCAACAACAATTAGAGGGAAAAAAATAACAATTACTAACCATAAAGCTTAAACAACGATAACACACCCCACTAAAAAAGACTGTTGTTGTTACAAGAGGGAATGGGCTTGAAAAAACTATAATAAAAACAAAAGGAAATTAAAACGTAAAAGGAGATGAAAGAACACGAAAAGAAAACACTAAAACAACTAAGAATAACCGAAATACTGAAATAAAAAAGACAAAAAGGAAACACAAAATTTTATTAAAGAATAACAAGGGTCTCAATTAAAATTCTAAGAACCTAAAACCCAAATTAATATGAAAAATAGTTGTCGATGGCTAACAATTAAAAAGGAAAGAGCTTAAACAGCCTTATTAATTTCCTATTTGACTCAAAATTAATTGAGAATGATTAATTGCCCAAGAATAAATTAACCTATAATGGAGAATAAACTAACGTTAGTTGAGTATATAACAACAAGGAAAAACTTAATGAGCCTCATAAATCCCATTTTTGAATCAAAATTAAATTCGATAGAAGATGGAGAGATTAACGCAAATCAACATTTAACATTCACTAAAATTACGGAAAACAATCAATGCGGGGATGGACACCACTGAATCGCCGGCAACCAAGCTCGGAAGGAGTTTGAGTTACCGGATCGCTGGAGAGGAAGAATCTGTGGAAGATCCCACATATTTCTGCCATGAATATCGTTGAAGAGGAAACAAATTCCACCAAATTGCAACATAACAAGATGATCTCAAGGGCTCCAAAGGAAGCCTATAGCGATGACCCGCATCGTGGGATCGAGATAAATCTCAAATAAAAATGGTTGATCGCTGGAGGAGTCGTCACAAAGAAACGACAGCCACTACGGATTGAATCCAACTGAACTCACAAAAAGAAAGTTATGTAATGAACTCACAAAAAGAAAGTTATCCTCTCCTGATTCATGGATGTATTGCTTGCTTCTCGATCTGCTGTCAATAATAGCAACGATTTCGCGGGTAGCGCCGCTAAGAGGAAGGTCGAGCTTGGCATCTTCGTTTTTCTCCCTGCAGAATGGCAATGACAATGTCGACGTCGTCAGCTCTGCAGAACCAGAAACCATAAGTGGTGGAGGAGGAATCTCATAACCGGATTCGGCGTCTTTTCTGCAAAACTAGAGTTTTGAAAGAAGAAAGAATACCAAATTTGAGAATTCGGCGTCAACAACTCGAGTTATTGATACTAAAGGATCTTGACAAAGAACACCATTCAAAAGCAATTGTTTAGCTAAATCATGAATAATTGTTTGATACATAAAGAGTGATATTCTTGATGGTTTCGACATATATGTAATTTACCAAGTTTTTGTATTTATCTCGAATGATTTAAAAAACTTAAAAAAAACTAGTTTATCAAATGTATTTTTTTCTAAATCGACCCACCCTCGACAAAATCCTGGCTACGCCCTTGCTAACAACATGCGTATCTTAGGGCAACGTATGGGCAAGGAGCAGTTGTCTTAACGTTGAACCTTAATGCGGGGAAAGGTTTTGCGGCTTTCATTCCACACTCTACCATCATTTCCCCATTTTAGGCAGGTGATTGCGTGCCTAGGGTCGTCCCTATGTCGGCCATTTAAAACCCTTTGTTTGCTCCTCCACCGCCATCATCGGATTTTCATCCACACCACCCACCTCGTGTTTTTCTTCATTATTCTCACCCCACCTAATATCCTTAGTTCGAATACTTGTGGATGCATGAGCGGTACCATGTAATTGCTTGGATTTCGGACCTTGATGTTTCATATGTCCATTCGACGTGCACTTGTAACGGGTTGGATCTTATGCTTCCCTCGTCATATCTTTCAAGTTTACCCCTATTGGTATATGTCACAATGGAGTTGGGATGGGAGAACGTAGCAGAGGATGATTACTTGATGGTGTGGATTATTGTAGTGTGTCCATGGATTGGGGGTTGGGGAGACCTCTACTTGTTCCATGACGCATTTCAACCATACATGGATGTGTTGATCGACAAGGGTTTTAATTTCCAAATATAAGCGCCTTTGTTGCTTTGGCATGGAAAGAACGAAAGTGTGGGGTGATCATTTGGGCATATTCTAATGCCACTCTCTCTAGACCACCTCCTGATGATACATGAGGGTATTGAATTTGACCTTCATACATTTCAATGGCGCTATGGCCTTGCTTTTCATATGTTGCCTAGCATTGTAGGCTCCACACTCTTCTTGTGTGGATTTCCTAAAGAAATGCAATTTGGGGGAACCTCTTAGGTTTTTCCGTAGAGGAGATGATGCACTTGCTATCTCCATTTTATACTTTTTGCTTGTTCGTAGACAACCAAACATCAAGGAACTAGCAGATCGGGTTGCATTCTCGGCATTGTGGTAACTTCGTTATATCTTTTTCCCTACCTCCTTGTTCGGTCCAATGAGGACATTGTCCCAATTAAAGTGTGGGGTGGGATTTAGTTAGACTGGTTTTCGTTTGACATACCATGATCTGATTGTTCATGCATAATACATGAACCTTGCTTTGGAAGAATTTTATTGAGGGTCACTACCCGATCACGCTCGTGACCTTATTCACGACCCGTTTCACGGTCGTGGCTTGGGTTATGAATCTCTCGACAATTATTTTCTCAAATCATCAATTTGGGAATTCCAATCCAAATTTTCACGGTTGGCATCACGCCCGTGAACCAGACCGTGAGAAGGATGGGTTGACCCTCCAAATTTAGTCACATGCGTATCATGTGTAGGAGGAAGAATTTTTGTGTGTGCATTTGCGCATAAAATTCAAATTTTGAGTAATGCCACGCACCCAAAGCAAATTCGAAGATCGTCATGCTTTGAATTGCTAGTCTCTATGTTAATACGTGATCTAAGGGAGGCTAGTGTAGGGACTATGAAGGATGTCCTTGTCATGAAACTTGGATCCATCTTAAAAGAAAAAAATGTATAGATTGGTGCTTCCTATCATTCCTTTCGAGTTCTCGAACTCCTCCTCAAAGGAAGGAGTCTTATGCACTAAAAGAAAAAATGGGTTCAATATGTAGCTTCATGCAATCAATATCCTATCACGTACACTCTACATCAATAGACAATACCGCCGCAAATACAGTGTGGGATAAAGAGCCCAGTGTGAGGCATCCTATCCTTGGAAAATACCGGGTTTTGGAAGACATACTAGTTGAGTCATGGTGGTGCACGCCTACAATATACTTCTAGTTTGTCTCTAGTACAAGTAATATTTCCACCCAAATGATAGGATTGTCAACTTGAGGGATGTGTATTCTAGTGCACGGATGTAGCTTCCGACACCCCTTGACTTCATTTACCCTCTGCACGATCAAGGAAAATGAGGAATCACTCTTTCTTGATCAAGCTTGCTAAGTACCAAAGTACGAGGCAAAACAAACCCCCTTCTGCGCATAATATAGCACAAAAAGTGCAATGTTGCATGGCAAGATCGTCTTAATATGGAAAACTTCCAAAAAGACTTACATGGGCAGGA